GTGCACCGTCGCTGCCGAAGAGGAGGGTGGCTGCGCCTGGACGGCCTCTGTGCAGCCCGGCGGGTGCGGCGACATCCTGCGCGTCCTGCTGCTGCAGCTGCGGGCGGACGGCCAGCTGGGAGAGGTGAGTCACCAAGCAGGTGGGTGGTGGTGCTCATGTTGGTGTTGACGAGGTGCTCATCCACAGTCTCTCTCTCCAGGTTGACGACGCCATTGCCGTTCCTGACGGCCCTGCTGCGGCTCACGTGGGGCCGCCTCTCATCTTCGTCCTCCCGATAACTGATAAGCACCTCGACAATGGTCGTCTGAAAGTTAATGATATTCTTCGTAACATCCCGAAGCAATGGAACATCCCTCGCAGTTTGCGGCACTTAAGGGGCGACGGCACTGAGGAACTGCTGCGGGTCATAGGTGCGCACCTCGAGGAGTTGCAGACCTCGGGGGACGTTCAGCCCAGCGTCATGGAGGAGGTGCGGAAGATGTCGGGACTCAGAAGACTAGAAGTTAAATGCGCTCAGAATGTGGAATACCCGGACCTTCCGTTACAGCTGGAAGAGCTCAGTTTAAATTATGGGACCGAGAACCAGCTGCGTTGTGTGGAGCGCATGCCCAGGCTACGCAGCTTGGAGGTAATCAACTACCTTGGTCCAAATCTGACCTTCCCTCACTCGCAGCATAACAGGCTGATGTGGCTCTACGTGGGCTTCAATACTGACCACAAGCCCACCATGCTGTCCCTGATTCGCGCCTACGCCTCTTCCGTACAGGAACTCCGTGTGTTCTGCACCTTGCCTACTGGTGACAAGGACTTTTACTTCCCTGATCTGGGCCAGGAACTAGCGGCGTGCCGCCTGGTCGCCTTGCGGCGGCTCGTCCTTGTACGCCCTATGGAATATCGGTGCACGGACAATGCTTCTAGCTGCGTGTTACAGCGAAGAACTATTCGAAGCGTATTCCCACATTCGGTCGACGTAGTTTGCAGGTCGTGTCACAGTCCGGAATTCTAGTTGAATGGCGGCAATATGACTTACGACGCGTCAATGTAGCGAAATCCCATTCTAGCCCGGAGATTAACTTTTATGCGTTCAAAACCCCTGCTACAAGGAAATTTCAAACCTCTGAAATTTTCTTAAATAATGTTTTTTTTAATTATTTTTTTTTTAAATACAAGTATGTTGTCCAGTTTTAATTAAACTCAATGTAAAAGAAAGTAATAAATACATAATTCATTTCATCTGCGCCTGGAGCTTTGATTTTATCGTAGTCTGCATTGTATACCAAGCAGCAATCAAACTCCAACCAGACTGAGAAAAGGCTAAGAACACGGTTTTGTCGAAATGCACGCACCGATCATAAGGCCTACCCCGGCTGGTCCACTCCGGGACTCCGGGGGTGAGCGCCTGGCGGCGGCGGGTAGGCCACCCAAACCTGCACTGCTGCGCGACGGGCCGGCCTACCGAGCGAGGCGCGGGGCAGGGAGACTCGCAGGCACGCAGAGAGTCCACCCGAGTTCTGAAAGACACGCGTAGTATCGAGTCGCCGGAGAGGAGAGATCTGAAAATACATTTCGAGATCGCCTTGAGCGCATCGGTAGTTTTAGGTCCGGTAGATCAGGTGTATGTGTGTGGACGGGGTGGGGGAGGCCTTCACCCTGCAAGAAGCTTAGAACTAGAACAGAGGACCTAGCCGGGCGCGGACGCAGGGAGGCAGGTGGTGGGGATGCTAGGCTAGGGCTGGTGGTCCCTCTAGCGGTCGAGTCCCTGCACCGCCAGCTGGACTCGTCGGTTGCTCAACTGGAGTGGAGGAGGTCCTGGAGAGGCGGGAGGCGGTCGGCGAGCGCCAGAGGTCTGCAGCGGTCGGTCCGCAGTCCCGGTAAGAACCAAGACGCGACGATACCCCTTCTCCCTCTAGCGACACACGCACGGACAGTTAGCGCGTTCTGGGTGAGCTTGACTGCCGGGTCCCGAGAGTGCCGACTACGTTTCGCTAATCCAGCCCGCTGATTGGCTGATCATAGCTCCCCGCCTCTCTTTGTGACAGAGGCGCTTGCCGGGTCCCGGTAAGACTCCGGGTCCGGCCAGGCTCGTGGCGGTCGGTCCGGTACGGAACGACGCAGAGCGCGCTTGCCGGGACGATTTTTTGGCTTTGGACCGACCGTTGCAGACCTCTGGCGAGCGCCCGAAGGCGGCGGGTAGGCCACCCGCACGGGCGGCGTGGCGCGGCGGGCCGGCCTACCTCGCGGGGGGACCGCGCGTTCTGGGCCGTTGCCGCCCGTTCCGCGAACTAGTTGACCGTCTCCCAGCGTTCCTCCCTGGGTGGCCGCGGACATGGAACTCCTACAATCTTTCAGGGAGGCCTGTCTTGTACTGCTTGTACGTCGGCGGCAGCCGCAAGCTCAACACTTCCGTTCCTACCATCACCACCACCACCACCACGCCCCCCACGCTTTTTTTACCCGATTCAGGACGTGCTCCCAATCAGCCTGCGACGAGTCAAAGTAGCTTGACTTGGGCTTATTGCGCTTTGCTTAAGCAAACTAAATTTAGTTTCGCTCGTTATTAACTCATTGGCAAGCCTCCAGGAAGGCGATTGAAAATCTCCCTGAAAACATCCGGAAATTCCTTCGAAATTGTCTGAAACAGGGTGAGTGTGTATTTTTTTTTGGGGGGGGGGGGTAGGGCGTTCTCAGGGTGCTCTCCGCTCTCCGATCACCTTCCAGCCCAACTGTCCGTCCGCTGAGGCGTTCATATCGCGCGCGCTGCCCTCTGCCTTGCGCTGGGGCCTCACAGCCAATCGCGAGCCCTGTCTCGCACGCCCTGCTACGCTGCATCCTGTCCGGAGGAAAAGATAGAGAAGAAAGAAAGCAGAAAGCAACGCGGGTGCGGGTAGATTGACTGCAGCCAAACATAACCTCACTCCAAGTCCAAGAACTAATTCCTTGTGCAACTTTTAAGTGTGTTGCTGACGTACTACGTATTCAAACCTGTTTAATAGTAAGTTGAAATGATCCTGCTAGTATATAGCGTCAAATCGTGGCTGGTGACGCATTTTTAAGTAGTTTTACCATAATTGCAAGAGCTCTAAATTCCTCAAGGAATAGTTCACATTCATAAACTAAACCATTCAAAGTGTGATGCACTACTTGTTTTCTTTTTGTGTGGTAGATGGACCTGAAGTGTGACATTTGCTTCCTCAAATTTGACTTGGACGCCCACCGTCCCAAAAACTTGCCCTGTGGACACACAATTTGCAAGGAATGTGTTGAAAATCCTTCCTTAGGGAAGAAGTGCCCAACTTGCAGGAAGGTCAGTATGTTAATAAGGTTCTGATTGTGGTCTTATTAACCATGTTCATTTCTTTGGTTTAATATAAAGCAATTGGGTAAAGCTGAAATGCAGAAGAATGTGGTGTACAAGAATGCGGAAGTCACCATGTTTCAGCATAGTGATTTCTGTTTTGTAGTTCCTCTCATTCTTCCTCTTGTCAGCTTTCCCGGAATCTTTAAATCTTGGGGGTATTTTCGAGGCAGATAAAATTTAGTTGGTGTCAATTAAAAGTAGTGCTGCCCGTTTACTAAGCACAGGATTCAGTGGGAAGTTTGACCAGTACTTTCTTTGTAAACCCATTTCACGGACTTCTGTACTTGCTCAGTACGGTGTTGTGAGTAGGCTACGGAGTACAGGAATTTTTAACTTTGAGCCTTATGGGCACTACAGTATACACGTATGTACACAGTGTTCAATTTCTTTGAAGAGAAGTTTCAATTCGTTCAAAAGCTATACAAAAAGTTGACAACAAAAAATCACATCTGCTAAAAATAGTTAGCAAAAATGGAAAGATTTACAACACGTGCTGATATGGAAAGTAAGGTAAAATGTTTCAATCTAAAGTCATCAAGATATAAATATAACAATAGGTACGATATTGGGATTCAGTTGGAAACCTATTAAACAAGTTGCAACAAATTCTACCCAGTGAGAAATGGGAACGTGGTTTCAACGTCGAATCGACGTCGAAACATCGAAAAAAAGTGGATTTAGGGGACAAAGTGAGGTTTATTCGACTGATTCGATGTCGAATCGACGTTAAAGAAAACTCATTTCTCACTGGGCTACTTTTTCTTTGCTGTCAATTACACCCAGTTTATTGAAATATCTGTTTAATTACCATATTCAGGCATTTAAGATACGCCGACTTGAGGACCTCCCCGACAGCTTTATAACAATCCGGCATCTGGAAAACGAGGACGTCCCACCCCGCAAGAAGCCCAGGACCGAGGACCCAGAGCTGCAGCAGCTACAGCGGGGCGCGGACGCGGGGCGGAAGGTGGTTGAGATGCTGCGGCTGGTGGTTCCTCTAGCGGTCGAGTCCCTGAACCGCCAGCTGGAGTCGTCGGTCGCCCAGCTCGGCCAGGTGGAGGAGGCCCTGGAGAGGCGGGTGCAGCGGGAGGCGGCCGGCGATGTGGGCACCCCGTCGGACGCCGTGGAGGAGCCGCTGCAGCTGGCCGAGCAGCTGGAGGCCAGCCACCGCCTGCTCACCTCCACCAAGTGCACCGTCGCTGCCGAAGAGGAGGGTGGCTGCGCCTGGACGGCCTCTGTGCAGCCCGGCGGGTGCGGCGACATCCTGCGCGTCCTGCTGCTGCGGCTGCGGGCGGACGGCCAGCTGGGAAAGGTGAGTCATCAGGCAGGTGGGCGGTGCTCACGTCGGTGTTGACGAGGTGCTCATCCACAGTCTCTCTCTCCAGGTTGACGACGCCATCGCCGTGCCTGACGGCCCTGCTGCGGCTCACGTGGGGCCGCCTCTGATCTCCGTCCTCACGATAAATGACAACCACCTCCACGATGGTCGTCTGAAAGTGAGTGACATTCTTCGTGACATCCCGAAGCAATGGCACACCCCTCGCAGCCTGAAGAACTTAAAGGGCGTCGGCTCTGAGGGCTTGCTTCGGGTCATGGGGGCGCACCTCGAGGAGCTGGTGACCTCGGGTGATGTTCAGCCCAGCGTCATGGAGGAGGTGCGGAAGATGCCGGGACTCAGAAGACTGTCAGTTAAATGCGCTAATGATGAGGGCCACCCAGACCTGCCGTTGCAGCTGGAGGAGCTCATCATTAACAAAATAACTGAGAAGCAGCTTCGTTGTTTGGAGTACATGCCCAGACTGCGCAGCTTGGGGGTGTACAATTACCATGGTCCGAATCTAACTTTTCCCACCTCGCAACATGGCAGGCTGCTGTGGCTAGGCGTGTGCTTCGATACTGACCACAAGCCAACCATGCTGTCCCTGATTCGCGCCCATGCCTCATCTCTGCAGGAGCTCCGTGTACGACTCTGCACCTTCTCGGCCGATGGCAACTCCTACCACTTCCCGGACCTCGGCCAGGAGCTGGCGGGTTGCGGCCTTCTCGCCTTGCGGCGGCTCGTCCTTGTACGTCCTGTGAATAATCCGTGCACAGGCCAGTCTCCTGAATGCGTGTTGCAGCGGAGAACTATTCGAAGCGAATTCACCACGTCTGTCGACGTGGTTTGCAAGTCGTGCCACACACCGGAATTCTAGTTGAATGGCCGTAATATGACTTATGACGCGTCAATGCAGCGATTCCCATAAGCCCATTAGCCATTCCCATGGAGCTTAACTTTTAAGCGTTCAAAACCCCTGCTACAACTAATTTTTAAACCTCTGAAATGTTCTAAAAATTATGTTGTTCTTCTTTTAAAAACTTTAAGGTACTTGTCCAGTTTTGTCAATTAAACTTAATGTAAAAGTAAGCAATAAGTATTTTGTTTCATCTGCGGCTGGAGTTTTGATTTATCACTGTCTATACCAAACAGCAAGCAAACTTCAGACTGAGGGTAAGTCGCGCGCGCTTTCTGTTTCTGTCGCCCCAGCAAACCGTGAGGAGGCATAGGCGTTGACGGCCTGGAGTCGGAGCCCGCGACACGTGCGGACCTAGGGAGGACAGAGGACAGGACTCGTTTCGAGTAGGACACCTCACTCGAAGGTTTTCAGTGCGGTCGGCAGTCGGCAGCGTTAATTTGGGTATTGGGCGAGGTGTTCGCAAGAGTTCCTCCTTTGTTAATTGCATTCTGACGGCTGGCTTATCTTGACCTGCATAGAGACGCAAGTTTATAAGATATTGTTAGGGAATTTCACTTTCCCACTCTTGTGGCAACCCTGTTCTTGATGGTTAACCCTTGTCTCTTTTGCCCGTCACCTGGTCGACGCCACTGATAACCGTCCAGTACCGCACGGGCCCATCATAAACCATAAACCCGACACCGAGCTGGTCCCGCCCCGCTGTCGGGACGGAGCGAGCGCCTGGCGGCCGCGGGTAGGCCACCCGCACCTACAGTGCTGCGCAGCGGGTCAGCCTACCTCGCGGGGGCGCTGGGCTGGGCGGGGAGGCTCACTGGCTCCAGAATCCATCCGAATCCTCAATCGTTCCAGTCCGGATTCCGACTCGTAGATTGAGAATTCGAACGCACCCTGGGACCAGACTAGTACAGAACAGACGTGGAAACGAAACGCTATAGCGAGAGGCAAGATCAGAAAAAGCACATTGAGCTCGCCTTGAGCGCGTTGTCGGTTTTTGGTCCGGTTGACCCGGATTGTGTGTGATAGTGTGTCTCGTCTGGGCATGTTTTTCGATTTTGAAAAAGTTACCCCTGATATCGCCTGAATTTCGGCGTCGCTCCATTTCTAGCGGTAGTGCCTTACTCCTATTAGGGATCGTACCCATACTAGGTGGGGGGAAGGGGGGGGGGTAGGGCCAAGTACTACGTCCTATCCTTATAACATGGGCAAGGTTAGATTAGGCAGGTCACGGGGGGGGGGGTCAAAAAGTGGCCAAAAAGTGGTCACGTAGTATGGGTACGGGGAAAACGGAATGTAATGCGAACCAAACTTTCTTCGTAATAATTACAAAAGCAGTGCTCTGTAAGTCGCGAAGTGAATATTTGTAATTACGAAGGTCCGCTTCTAGAAAGCTGATTGTACTTGGCGCCACTCCCTCCCGCCCCCTGTACAAACCGCTTCTGCATCTCTAGAAGTGGCCGCCAGGTGGGCTTGGTCAGCCCCGCGCACGGCTCGCGCGAGGTGTGCTGTGTGCTGCCTACCCGCGGCCCGGCGGGCTGACGCTGGCTGACGCGGCGCGGACACTCCGTCGCGAGTACCGCTGCTGGCGCTGGCGCTGGCGCTGCTGGGTGGGCGGGCCGCGGCAGCTTCCGCGCGGAGAGCTTTCGGCTAATGGCCTTGGAACGGGGCGATGCGTCGTCCCGATAATTCGAGCGCAAATCCGCAACAACGAGCTCCGTTTTTTTGGTGTGTGTGTTTTTATTTTCTTGCAAAAAAAGAGGAGGAAAAAAGGGGGGGAGATGCGGGGAGGAGAAGGAAGGGAGAGGATGGTAGATGAGTCGGGGTCTTAAGCGCCGGAAGCTGTTGGGAGCGAAAAAAAAAGTGCGAAGTGACTCGGGGTTAAAAGGTTCGAGGAGAACCGGCGGCGGCGGCGGGTCGTGTGATCGATGTTGTGTACTCGGTATTAGTCGGCGGTCGGGGCCGGAGCGGTCTGCACTGGTGGCAACACTCCAGCTGTAACATCATCAGATAGACTGTAAGTCTATACCCCGTTGCAACTGTACAGAGGAGCCAAGCACCCAATCGCGGCCGGGGAGATAACAAGAAAGACAAACTGCAATCACTTTACATCGCCGCGAAGCGCAGGCTCAACAAAGGAAGGGGCGCAGTGACGAAAACTCTCGCCTCGTTTAGCAAATTATTCAACGTATTGTGACATTAAATATGAGTCATTATTATTTGATATCCCCCGCTCTCCGACCGGTTACTCGCGTCCCTGGCCGTGACATCAGCCCGTCTGGGGGTCATCAATTAACTCACTGTGCAGCACCGTCGAGTTTACGCTGTACGCGCCGGCAGCGCCAGCATCAGGATATAAAACATATAAAGTTGCTATAAGTTGTTATAATACTAAACAAACAAGGCGTCGGATCGCGGTATGGGTGACTCAGCAGTGCGTTGCGTACGCGGCGCGTCTGGCGTGCTGCTGTCCGGGGGGGACGCCTTTGAGAAGGTGAGGGAGGCCTTCCGAGTGCGTCTGACATCACCACCCCGCACACGCTCCACCGGGCAGCCCGTCAGCCGCCGTCGGACGAGCCGAAAATAACGCGGCAGCAGGACTTCCTCCACGCGACGGGTCAAACAGTGATAATAAAAATCTCGAGTCGAATGCGCCTTACAAAGTGATGTCACCACCTCCTCATGCGAGCAGTCCTGGCGCATAAGCGTAACCAGCATCATACCAGGTGGCTGATTAACCCCGCGCACACCAGTACACCGAAAGCCTAAGTGTGTGAATGTCACGCACTTGTAAGTGTGTGGACGCCATTTTTTCGCATAGAGAGGAAAGTGTGGGAATTTCAAAGGAAGATTCACACCTTTTACTTCCGTAAGTATACGAATGGGCGTTCACACACCTACAAATGTGCGCGACATTTGCACACCTGCGCGTCCAGTGTAGTGATACTGTGCCACATTCATTCGTGCCGGAGGGTTGCCTACTGCCTACTCGCTCCTCCGTCTTGAGGCGTCCTGGTCAGGGGGGTGATATGCAAGCTCGGCTGCGAGGGGTATACCTAGAGAAGCGCGCGGGGTTAATCAGCCACCTGTTATTTGGATGGAGCTAATGTCGGGATGGTAGGGGAGAAAGGAGGGGGGATCATCCTGGATGAGTCCTGCGGTGGCCTACGCCACTGGCTCCGTCCCGGCCGAGACGTGCGCAAGCGGCTGCGGGCCGGGAATACAGCAATAAACATGCTTTTGCTCCTTTTTGCCGGCAATACGTCCCATCGTCCACTAAATCCTCCCCGGGGGACGCTTAAAAATAATGACGCGGCACAGAGTGATGCCGGTGGCCGGCGGTGCTCCGCAGCTCCGCTCCTCGCCCGCATTCGTGTTCGCATTCGGACCACGTGCGCGCGACGTCGTCCCGCCGGCCGCGGAGTCGCCGCGGGTCCTGCGGGGCGAGACGGGGCGGCGCGGGGCGGCGCGGGGCGGCGCGGGGCGGCGCGGGGCGGCGCGGGGCGGCGCGGGGCGGCGCGGGGC